ATAAACAGCAACCGGGTATGGTGATATAGTCATAAACAGCAACAGGGTATGGTGGTATATAGTCATAAACAGCAACAGGATATTGTGATATAGTCATAAACAGCAACAGGATATGGTGATATATAGTCATAAACAGCAACAGGGTATGGTGATATATAGTCATAAACAGCAACCGGGTATGGTGATATAGTCATAAACAGCAACAGGGTATGGTGGTATATAGTCATAAACAGCAACAGGATATTGTGATATAGTCATAAACAGCAACATGGGATATGTATGGTGATATATAGTCATAAACAGCAACAGGGTATGGTGATATATAGTCATAAACAGCAACAGGATATGGTGATATAGTCATAAACAGCAACAGGCTATGGTGGTATATAGTCATAAACAGCAACATGGTATGGTGATATAGTCATAAACAGCAACAGGATATGGTGATATAGTCATAAACAGCAACAGGGTATGGTGATATATAGTCATAAACAGAAACAGGGTATGGTGATATAGTCATAAATAGCAACAGGTCATGGTGATACATAGTCATAAACAGCAACAGGGTATGGTGATACATAGTCATAAACAGCAACAGGATATGGTGATACATAGTCATAAACAGCAACAGGGTATGGTGATATAGTCATAAACAGCAACAGGATATGGTGATATAGTAATAAACAGCAACAGGGCATGGTGATATATAGTCATAAACAGCAACAGGGTATGGTGATATAGTCACAAACAGAAACAGGATATGGTGATATAGTCATAAACAGCAACAGGGTATGGTGGTATATAGTCATAAACAGCAACAGGATATTGTGATATAGTCATAAACAGCAACAGGATATGGTGATATATAGTCATAAACAGCAACAGGGTATGGTGATATATAGTCATAAACAGCAACAGGATATGGTGATATAGTCATAAACAGCAACAGGCTATGGTGATATATAGTCATAAACAGCAACAGGGTATGGTGATACATAGTCATAAACAGCAACAGGATATGGTGATACATAGTCATAAACAGCAACAGGGTATGGTGTGATATATAGTCATAAACAGCAACAGGGTATGGTGATATAGTCATAAACAGCAACATGGTGATATATAGTCATAAACAGCAACAGGGTATGGTGATATAGTCATAAACAGCAACAGGGTATGGTGATATAGTCATAAACAGAAACAGGATATGGTGATATAGTCATAAACAGCAACAGGGTATGGTGATATAGTCATAAACAGCAACAGGGTATGGTGATATAGTCGTAAACAGCAACAGGGTATGGTGATATATAGTCATAAACAGCAACAGGATATGGTGGATATAGTAATAAACAGCAACAGGACAGGGCATGGTGATATAGTCATAAACAGCAACAGTATGGTGGTCATGGTGATATAGTCATTGTGATAAACAGCAACAACAGGGTCATAAACAGCAACAGGGCATGGTGATATAGTCATAAACAGCAACAGGGCATGGTGATAAAGTCATAAACAGCAACAGGGTATGGTGATACATAGTCATAAACAGCAACAGCGTATGGTGATATAATCATAAACAGCAACAGGATGTGGCGGTATATAGTCATAAACAGCAACAGGGTAGGGTGATACATAGTCATAAACAGCAACAGGGTATGGTGATACACAGTCATAAACAGCAACAGGGTATGGTGATACACAGTCATAAACAGCAACAGGGTATGGTGATACATAGTCATAAACAGCAACAGGATATGGTGATATAGTCATTAACAGCAACAGGGTATGGTGATACGTAGTCATAAACAGCAACAGGATATGGTGATATATAGTCATACACAGCAACAGGGTATGGTGGTATAAAGTCATAAACAGCAACAGGGTATTGTGACATGCAGTTTTTCACAATAACAGGGGATGGTGATATAAGTCGTTCACATCAACATACAAACTTTTTGCATACATTACCAGAAATTACCTGTCCTCATATTTTATCGGATTCCTTATAATTACGTGCGAGATAATTGTTCCACAAAAAAAATGATAAAATTTGAATTGGATTTAATTTACCATTGCCTATTTCGTTGTAATCATCAATAATCTTTAATCCATTTACTGTGAACAAACTGAAAGCAGTATCCCGGGGGAATTACGAAAATGATTAATTTCAGCAAATATAGCCCTGACTAACTATTTTAGTTGAATATTCAGTCGTGTAGTTTTAATATATTATATGTTCAATTGATTAATGTAAAATGGGAATCGCACTGCCTTAGAAACGTACGTGTATACCACACGTTAAGCTGGCTATACAAACGCCCTCTATTGTCTAGACCGATCGATATATTGTACATATTTGTATCAATGAAGACTTCTATAGATTTTCTCCACCAGCATAGACAGGGTACTAGGCGTGTCGAAGTGAGTCAGTAATGTGTAGTGTAAGGTGGATAGAGGTTGTATCGTTACACCTTGTGGCTCGTAAGTCATCAACAACGCCTTTGATGACAAGACTGTTTATTGTTTGTGAATGATAAGTATCCCTAGTCCGGGCTGTATTTTATTATTTCCAGGCATGAATATGACATATGTCATCATGACATACGATTCAGCATTCGTCATAATCTAGAAACTATGTAACCTACTTTACACTGTAGGCTTGACTTATCGTTCTGTTCCTCTGATTAAAGGAACACATTTGACCATAAGCTGGTGGGTAAGTTGATCATTAGGTTTTTCACTCGGTTTTCTACCTTGGCCATTTCTCTGACCCTTAAAAGCCCGCCCGTCCCCGGAAACCAAACTTATCTGCTGGTTGTTTTAAAATACCTGCGTCGGACAGAAGCTTATCGTTGAGCACTGTAATGAGTTGACCTTTAAAAACAGCCATGTTTCAGTTTTCTGCTGCTCCGGTTTGTGGTGGAAGTTGTAATATCATGTTTTATGCTAAAAATGCTAACAACAGCAGCTCCGATCAGTAGTGAATGTTGTCATACCATGACTTATACATAGACTGTTACCAACTGCAGCTCCGAACAGTAGTGTATGTTGTCATACCATGCCTTATACATAGACTTTTACCAACTGCAGCTCCGATCAGTAGTGAATGTTGTCATACCATGACTTATACATAGACTGTTACCAACTGCAGCTCCGATCAGAAGTGAATGTTGTCATACCATGACTTATACATAGACTGTTACCAACTGCAGCTCCGATCAGTAGTGAATGTTGTCATACCATGACTTATACATAGACTGTTACCAACTGCAGCTCCGATCAGAAGTGAATGTTGTCCTGTAACATATTCTTAGTAGACTGTCATCCACTGCAGCTCATGTTTGTTGTGATCCTTGTCATATCATACCATATAATGAGGCTGTTATCCACTGCAGCTCATGTTTGTTGTTATCCTTGTCATATCATACCTTATAATGAGGCTGTTATCCACTGCAGCTCATGTTTGTTGTTATCCTTGTCATATCATACCTTATAATGAGGCTGTTATCCACTGCAGCTCATGTTTGTTGTTATCCTTGTCATATCATACCTTATAATGAGGCTGTTATCCACTGCAGCTCATGTTTGTTGTGAGGCTTGTCATATCATACCTTATAATGAGGCTGTTATCCACTGCAGCTCATGTTTGTTGTGAGGCTTGTCATATCATACCTTATAATGAGGCTGTTATCCACTGCAGCTCATGTTTGTTGTGATCCTTGTCATATCATACCTTATAATGAGGCTGTTATCCACTGCAGCTCATGTTTGTTGTGATCCTTGTCATATCATACCTTATAATGAGGCTGTTATCCACTGCAGCTCATGTTTGTTGTTATCCTTGTCATATCATACCTTATAATGAGGCTGTTATCCACTGCAGCTCATGTTTGTTGTGATCCTTGTCATATCATACCTTATAATGAGGCTGTTATCCACTGCAGCTCATGTTTGTTGTGATCCTTGTCATATCATACCTTATAATGAGGCTGTTATCCACTGCAGCTCATGTTTGTTGTGATCCTTGTCATATCATACCTTATAATGAGGCTGTTATCCACTGCAGCTCATGTTTGTTGTTATCCTTGTCATATCATACCTTATAATGAGGCTGTTATCCACTGCAGCTCATGTTTGTTGTGAGGCTTGTCATATCATACCTTATAATGAGGCTGTTATCCACTGCAGCTCATGTTTGTTGTGAGGCTTGTCATATCATACCATATATTGAGGCTGTTATCCACTGCAGCTCATGTTTGTTGTTATCCTTGTCATATCATACCTTATAATGAGGCTGTTATCCACTGCAGCTCATGTTTGTTGTGAGGCTTGTCATATCATACCTTATAATGAGGCTGTTATCCACTGCAGCTCATGTTTGTTGTTATCCTTGTCATATCATGCCTTATAATGAGGCTGTTATCCACTGCAGCTCATGTTTGTTGTGAGGCTTGTCATATCATACCTTATAATGAGCCTGTTATCAACTTCATCTCATATTTGTTGTGAGACTTGTCATATCATACCTTATAATGAGGCTGTTATCAACTTCATCTCATATTTGTTGTGATCCTTGTCATACCATATCTTATAATGAGGCTGTTATCAACTTCATCTCATATTTGTTGTGAGACTTGTCATACTATGAATAGTGTCAAGTCAATTCCTTTCAGAAGTGTAGGTTGCCATTATGTTATCAGCCCTGCCCCAAACCAAATTACATTTTCATATTGCTGTACAACACCCATTACCTAATATTATGCCCGTAATTCTCAGATTTGGATCCCTGATTCATCTGTCACCAACACCTCACACAACACACCACCCAATATTACACACACGCATGCCTCACCCACACCCACGTGTTTCATTCATAACACCACACCACCCCACGCTGTCAGCCGTATCCCACACAGTCACGCCTTCCCTTGTTATCTGTGGGCCAGCTATTACACCCACCCTCTCGGTGTTGCTGATCTATGTGTTTTGTGTTGCAGGTTTTCTAGGCTGTTATCATGTCGGGTGAGTACACATCTTGAACCTTGTACTGTCTTATACATTACCATTGTATTTACTTACCAGTGTTTTATAACACAGCACTTGAAATCTGTACATGGTTATTGTGTATGCTCTAAAATGTGATCATGCTTACCTCTTCAATATTATAAAATATTCATAATTGTTTCACCGGCATTCTATGAGTTGACCAGTTACGAAACTTACACAGTTATTGATAGTTCTATGCAATAACTAAGAAACTATCTATAAAGCTGTATCTCCCCATTATCTGCCTAGTTAGGTATCTTCCGGAAGATCCGGGTTCGATGCCTCACATGGGTACAATGTGTGAAGCCTATTGCTTGTGTCCCCCGCCGTGGTAACGTTGGAATATTGCTAAAAGCGGCGTAAAACCTTAATCACTCACTCACTCACTATGTATCTTCACATGGATACATTCTGTCCTATGTAGAAAACCTTTTTGACTTAATATTGGGCAAATATTTTCATGTCTCATGGAGGGTGTTATTTTGTGTTTAGAATGTTATTTTGTAATTATTTCAGTAACTGAATATATTAACCCTAGCTGACATTATCTCCTGTCGAATATTGGTATTGTTTTGACCAAAGTGGAATGTTATGGCGCTCTTAAGATTTGTGCTCTGTCTAGGGGAATTATTGTTACATAGATTTTCATCTCATGTAGTTTTTTAATAGTGTTTGTTAAGTCCATGTATAGGACATCTTTCAATGTCATGAAAAGTGATATAATTCCTCAAGGACAATGAAACTGTTTGTCGTCAAAGTGCTCTCATACCTACTGCTAAAGAAACAATTATTTATGTCTCATCACGCACCCATGTCAATTGTCAATGGTATGTTCAGTCACCCCTTCAAACCTTTGTATTGCGAAATGTACTCCGAATCGTGGGTGTGTACAACATGCTAGACTGACTTGGAAACAAACCCGCTTGAGGAATTTGTTTCTAAGGAATTCAGCGACGCAGTGTGTCTGTCTATACTCCATTCAAAAGCCTGTACGTTGCATGTGTCGTGAATAAAACTTTGACATGCACATAAATAACATACTTTATATGCATGAAATGCACACAAGTGCATGTTCTGAGGACTGCATGCCTTCAAATCAATGTATGCACTGTTCAACCTGGTGCGTCATACACACTTTGAAGATGTGATTGTGCCTGCTTAATATTACAGGATATATTATAAATGTTTCTATATACTATGATATGTTTTATATTTGCAAACTGAAAATCCAGAAGGATACACAGTTGCACATAATGTTGTAAATTTGTGTAAATATAGCGATTTAGTTTTTTTCAAGGACAACATGGTTATGACTCATTAGCAGGAGAGGTAGTTTCATTTGTGCCTCTGTATTGTCTGGCGGCGTTAAACGACAACAAACAACAACAATGACGACAGCCACGTCACTACTACTACTACCACCACTACCACTACTACTACTACTACTACTACTACTACTACTACTACTACTACTACTACTACTACTACTACTACTACTACTACTACTACAACTACTACTACCACCACTACAACTACCACTACCACTACCACTGCTACTACTACTGCTACTACTACTTCTACTAATTGGCCGTGTTTGTCTGTTGCTCCCAGTGTTGACCCGGTTCAAATCAATTCACCAGTATTCTCAATGCGTGTCATTAGACTGAGAAAATTGTATGGCTTGTCAAGCTCAGTGACTTGTATGATTGCATACCTTCGCACTGTGCCACCGGCTTGTCCGTCAAGACTATTTTATCTTACCTCACACTTAAAGGTCGTTTTCTGATTGGCTGAGGGCGCTTCTATTATTTTCAATGTTCCCCAAGCGAGTAACATTTTTTATGTTCCCGCTGGGCATGCCGAACTGTGGGAATTCATTTGGTACTTTGTGTTAGTAATGTTTTATCTCGAATAATTGAGTCACATATGGTGCAAGGAAATTAACGAATGTTTTGCGAATGCAAATCGATTAAAGGGAGATAACTCTAAATTTGCTCCTTTTTTGTCGTCATCTGAAAATCTAGTATTGGCTAATTGCCTAACACTAATACGCCTTATTACGACCCGATACTCGTGCTTCAAACAGTTCAAAATTAACATTGAGGTGTTCGGTAAGATAAAAACATTAATCGCCGGTCCCTCGGAGCCCATGGATTGATGTACCCTCTATGTCTGTCTATTTTCCCCTCGCCCTTCGGGCTCATAAAACATAAACAAACATAGAGGGTACATCAACCCATGGGCCCCGAGGGACCATTGAACAACTTATGTTATGGACGCGCTGGCATAGCTGTCATACTGTTGACTGTGGCCGTAGACAAAACTACTAATAACATCTTTGGTACTTCTAACATTTGGTAGTTACTTTAAAAGTACTGCAGTGATTTTGCAACTTTGAAAGTTTCTATTAACCCTGTACAAAACTCAGACGTCCAGTCTATCGACCATATTTCAACGGTTTGGCATTCACTCAGATACCCTGTGTTTATCGCAGTTTACACAAATCCGTCAGGAGATGATAATTGTCAATGGACTCCATCTTCTTCAGAAACAATTAAACGTTATATATGTTGTCAGTAATATTGTGATTTGTTCCCCCATCATAATATTTTCTTTAAGTTTCTTTCTTGTTTTCTTTTATTCATTCATTCATTTCCTTTAACCTGGACCTGCCATTCATTCATTCTTTCATTTATTCATTCCTCGACCTATCACGTATGTGCATCCCATCGTGATAACTCTTGTAAGTTACAATATAAGCCCAAAGTCACGCATAAACTGTGAAGATATAAATTAAATTCGTTTAAATATATATCAAAACCGTGAAGATCCGGGTTATAATTGATCTTCAGCAACCCATGCTTGTCTTAAGAGGCGACTAACAGGATCGGGTGATCAGACTCGCTGACTTGGTTGACATATGTCATCGTATCCCAAAATGCGTAGTATTTGCTCATACTGTTGATCACTGGATTCTGTGGTCCAGACTTAATTATTTTCAGACCGCCGCCATATAGCTTGAATATTGCTGTGCCTGAGTACTGCGTTAAACAACAAGCCAAAAAGAAGTTCAAAGTTCCCGATCGCCTAACTAGGTTTCAGTTTCACTGGCATGTACTTGTCTAAATACATTCTGGGTTTATCGAGTACATGTGGCTATTCAGTGTCTATTCAGGCCACCGTATGACCAGAGAGAGTACGACGACTCCAGGCATTGACCGTGTTTGCCGATAAACAGCCGATATTTCAAAAGGTTACTTCTTTCAATAGGCTCACCTGGAGACAGATTGTACAATGATATATTTGAACTGGCTGTTTGTACAGCTCATGGCGTGTTGCTGGTCAGGGATTGTATTCATGGGTATTTAAACTTCTGGGAGTATGAATAACATAGTTCTATTTCCAACAACCCCGTATCTATATGCTTGTCGTAAGAGGCAACTAACGGGATCGGATGGCCAGGCTCGCTGACACGTCATAGTATCCCTATTGCGTAGATCGATGCTCATGATGTTGATCACTGGATTGTCTGGTCCATTATTTACCGCCGCTATATAGATGGAATATTGCTGAGTGCGATATCAACACATCAAACAAAGAAACCCTCTCTACATACTCTCTATATAAGCATACGTAAGTGATATCCTTGTGGTGTTGTAAGTACTGGGTAATCAAAGAAACCCTCTCTACATCCTCTCTATATAGGCATACGTAAGTGATATCCTTGTGGTGTTGTAAGTACTTTGTAACAGCATATCTCTCCTTTGTCAAACATGTGATATCTTTACAAATCCTTTTATACTGAGGAAACAAATGAGTTACCCAAATTATGAAATACTTCCTCTAATATAGAGGTATCAATATCCGTGTGTAACTATTTTAATCAATACTATAAATCATGGTCCGTGGTAATTATGCATAAATCCTAACAATTTTATGATCTTCGATACATATCATATTGACAATTATTTTCTGCATGTGTAGTCGGTATGTAGTAGATACTGCCATGATATGAACGGCTAGAGCGAAATCATCTCGGTAAAGAGATATCGGTTGCAATTCCCGATTTTGATTTGTACCATATGCTCTCGTGATGTTTTAAAAGAGGAAAATTGATAGCGTTGGCCTGTGTTTGTCGCGGTTGCCCCCAGTGTGGCAGCTAGGATACGCTGACCATTTCGTTAACACCTGGGGCCGGCACTATTTCATTGATAAACAGATGCTTATGATAGAGTAAGAATTGTACAATGAATTCTTTTCCGGCAGATATTCTTGTGATTACTGAAATTGGTTTGCCCATTATATATATATTTGGTAATGTAACCTGTTAAGCTGATGACTTCGTCGTTATGTAGTAGCTATAGAAATCTAGTCTATTTGGAGTCAGGATGCACCAACCAAGTCAGCCAGTCTAACCACCCGATCCTGTTAGTCGCATGTTACGACAAACATGGGTTGATGAAGACCAATTCTAACCCGGATCTTCACGAGTAGTAGTACGATGATATGCAATCAGTCAAGTCAGCCAGTCTAACCACCCGATCCTGTTAGTCGCATGTTACGACAAGCATGGGTTGATGAAGACCAATTCTAACCCGGATCTTCACGGGTAGTAGTACGATGATATGCAATCAGTCAAGCTAGGCTTGACAAGCCACACAATTTAATCAGTCTAATGACACGCATTGAGAATACTGGCGAATTGTTTTCAACCGGGTCAACACTGGAGCAACTGAGCAACTGATAAACACGGTCGTGACTGTCGTCGTCATTGTTGTTTTTGTTTTGTTTTTGTTGTTTTGTGTTGTTGGGGGTTTTGGTGGGGTGGGTGGGGGTTTAGTTTGCAGCAGCAGCAGTTTTAGTATTAGTAGTGGTAGTAGTAGTAGTAGTAGTAGTAGTAGTAGTAGTAGTAGTAGTAGTAGTAGTAGTAGTAGTGGAAGCAGCAGCAGTAGTAGTTTTAGTAGTAGTAGTGTCGTGGCTGTCGTCGTCATTGTTGTTTGTTTGGGGGTAGGGGGGGATTCAGTTTGCAGCAGCACTAGTAGTAGTAGTGGTAGTGGTAGTAGTAGTAGCAGTAGTAGTAGTAGTAGTAGTAGTGGTAGTGGTAGTGGTAGTGGTAGTGGTAGTGGTAGTAGTAGTAGTAGTAGTAGTAGTAGCAGTAGTTGAAGAGTTACAGTAGTATTTATGGACGTAAACAGCGGTAGAGAACAGTTCGTATTTCTTTACGGTAATTGTACAGATTGACAGACAGTCTGCGGGAGTCGATAGACATACGCCTTATCATTGTCCACACAGTATGTCAGGCATGGAGGCGGACTCGCGCCACTTTATCGCTATTGACACGGCGTTCACAAATGCCAAGCATATACAATATACGTACAACAGCCGCCACATCGATCATTCAACATTAACTGGTGTTGGGTAGACAGTCGATGACAGGTGAACGTCACGCATGCTGTCTAGAGACAAGAATAACAATAGATTGTGGTAATATTAGTAATCACAGTAATGAAAGGTGACAGCATATTTTGTTAAGATAGAATATAGAATGTTTAAGAGTGAGTATGGTTTTACACCGCTTTTAGCAATATTCCAGCAATATCACTGCGTGGGACTGAAAAATGGGCTTCAGATATTGTACCCACGTGGGGAATCGAACTCGGGTGTTCAGCGTGACGAGCGAACGCTTTAACCACTAGGCTACCCCACCGCCCCTGAAATGTTAATAACAGAAGTTCAAGTGTACAATACAGTAGTTATAGTTAGAACAGCTATTCTGGTAACCATAGTGACCACAGAAACCGTCCGTGTATGGTTGGCTAAGTACCATTACCAATTAATTAATTATTCAAAAACTTACTGAGGTATCATAACTTCCAATATCAGACAGACCGTTATAATTTAGACGTTCCAGTTATAATTATATAAAAACAAACCTTACCGTTCGATATTCTAGCAACTACAATAGGGTGATTAGTTGAAATGATCTGCACCAGCTCTGGACTGGGTGTCAATATCCTAATATCAGCCACTACTAATGTAATAACGGGATCGGTTAGTCAGGCTCGCTGTCTTCGTTGATGCATGTTATTGTATCCCAGCTGTGTACATTGATGCCCATGGTGTCAAACATACGACTGTCTGGTCCAGACTAGACTGCATTTTGCTGGAATACTGCTGAGTGCACAGATGAGGTGAGGTGAAATTGGGTTTATCGTCGTGCTTGAGAATATTTCGCTCATATGACGACGTGCATGCGTGTGTATGTGTATGTGCGGCTGCTTGTACTAGCCCAGACTTCAGCTGGTTTTATAGTGCGAGCCCACTGAGATACCATGCCGCAGTGAAGCATGAATACCCCACTCAGACACATTATACTGACTCCGAGCCGACCAGTCCTTCTTGTACCCATTAATGCCGAGCGCCAGGCAGGGACCAACAAGTACCATATTTTAACGTCTTTTGGTATGACGCGGTTGGGGATCGAACCCGCGACCTTCCGCTCTCCGGGCGGACGCTCTAACCACTACACCACGGAGGCGGTTGCTGAGTGCACAGATAGCTGGATAGGATAGTTGAACAGACAGTAGACAAGGTAGTTGTACAGGCAGTGGATAGAACAGGAAGTTGTACAGACAGTGGATAATAGTTAGACGGACAATAGACAGGGAAGTTGTACAGATAGTGGATAGGATAGATGGACGGACAATAGACAGGGTAGTTGTGCAGATAGTGGATAGGATAGATGGACGGACAATAGACAGGGAAGTTGTACAGATAGTGGATAGGATAGATTGACGGACAATAGACAGGGAAGTTGTACAGATAGTGGATAGGATAGATTGACGGACAATAGACAGGGAAGTTGTACAGATAGTGGATAGGATAGATTGACGGACAATAGACAGGGAAGTTGTACAGATAGTGGATAGGATAGTAAGACGGACAATGGACAGGGAAGTTGTACAGACAAAAAAATAGGATTGTGTTTCAGACAGTGAATGGTTGTGGTAAACATGCGGTACTGCTCACATGGTGCAAAAACAAAATATCTTTTCCAAAATGATACCTACGTTGTTCTGAAGAAACCGAAAATGGCAGTACATTGACAAAGAATAAGCTATGTTGGCGAACAGTTCATGTTATGGAACGTTGTGGGGAGTCTCCATTAGCTACTGACCTACATGTTACCACATATATGCATAGGCTATATTAAATTAAAGTTCCCAGCCTATTCAACACACTTAGAACAAGTTCGTTGTGTTTGTGTTCATATCCAACAGCTGTTCACATCCATTTCACTAGTTGTAATGCAATACCAGGTCATCAGTCACTTGCTTGTGAATAAATGTCGAGAAAGCGGTGCAACTGTGTGCTTCACCTCCAACTGCATGGTATGTGATTATTGTCATTATAATTATGATATCATCGATTTAATGTTATCATGATTATCATCAGAACAATTAATTCATATGTCGCATACCGTGATAGCTTAAATAGAGCGTATAATTTTTATCAGCGCAGTGAGACCATCACGTAGACTAGTTCAATTTGTTACTGCAGTGGCTGACGTCAGGGTAGTTGTTCAGTCAGTGGATAGGATATTTGGAAACTGAGTCTTGGAACGCATTTTGACAAGATAATCTTACAATGAACCTTGTGAGTGACCATAACGCTGTGGTATTGTTGATTATTAAACTGTGTATTCACGTGTACATGTTTTATTGTGTTTCAGGTCTGAGAAAAGCTAAGCAGTATGATTGGAAGGATTCCAATTTGGCTATGTTTGGTTCTGATACGGAAAAACAGGTCAAGAGTACGTATTGAACCATTTATTTATTTCGTTGTTGATTGTGTTCTGTTGGTTTGTGCTGAGAACAAATATAACACGTACACACCCGTACAACAAACAGATACAGAAGACCCCATCCTAATAGTGACTTTTCATGAAAAGCTGAGTTATCCCTTCTATCAATTTACCTTTTTCTAAACTGTTCGCTGTGTTGATTGTCCTACATGCTAAATTTCAGATGCAGTAGGAAGGATTGTGGTGAATGCCAGTTTTTACTCTTTTCTTACATGTTCTGTTGATTGTGCTACATCAACAGCTGATGCGAAGATTCAGGGCCCCGTTCCACAAAGCGATCGTAGCACTAAGGTGATCGTAACTCCCATACCGTAACATAGACTTACGACAGTCGTAGCGCTACGATCGCTTTGTGAACGGGGCCCCTGATGCAGTAGTAAGTATATTAGTGAATGTAAATTTGTACACTTCTCTAAATTACTTGCTCTGTTGAATGTCTTATATGAACAGGTGATGCTAAGATTTAGATGCAGTAGGACTTTTGGTGAATGGCACTTTCAGTCTAGCGTACATTTCAGGCTTAATAGGAGATTGTGAATATTCCCAGGGTATATTCCATATTGGCGACTACTGGTTGCAGACAAGGACAAAGTGACCTGCTATAGCAGCAATCTGAAATTTGTCCCATCGTACTTCCTGACCTGGCTTGTATATTTATTTGCTGTTTCGTCTCGTCGTGTGTCCATAGCCATTGGTTATATGTATTGATTAGGTCCTCTACGTACTGCATCAATTCCGGTAGCTGTCGTCAAATATTTGCTGTTAATTTTCCCGATTGTTGTAAGAGCACCTCGACAAACGTCACTGGTATCTAGGTGGTATGAAAACATCCAGTTACATATATGTGACTAGGTAGATTTAAACAAACCTGCACCCTGGTTGAATCCCTGCATCACTGATGATGAGAATTAAACAAGGTCAGGTCGGCTTGGATTCGGTTCCATGTGTTTTAGTGGTGTGTCCGTATTAAGTGGGTTCGGGTGGCCCACAAATTGCTCTGTAGAGTTGCGTCTGTTGAGCACCCCGAAACTTTTGCTTGCTGGTTGGAATCCCGGGTGCCCGAAGACCCGCCGTGATGTTGCTGGAATATTGCTAAAAGCGGCGTAAAACCCAGCTCACTCACTCACTCCCCCGAAGAGGTTTCTAGATACTTACGGCTCTTTGTCCTTGATTGTAGGTTTCACTTGTAGCACATCGGGCCTTCGTTCCACATCAAAATTAAAATCCGTAATTTTCAAGTAATACTGTTCAAAACGGCGGTAAACCTAACACACTCACTCACTCTTTACCACTAAACTTGGACATGGTTTTCAAGCGCACTAGCGCTTTAAAAAGCATAATACATCTAGACTTTTCTAACTAGACAAACACACGTGCATGCAACTCGCTGATTTAATCTTTGTCGTTAAACGCCATTTTACACTGCCACACCTACACACATGCATTATTGTTTCGCTCCATGAAACATATATGGACAATTATATAACAGGACAATTAAGCCAGTTGTCATTGTCCTCTGTTTGCGCATCTCTTTGTTTTCGCTGCATATGTTTTATACAGGTAGACAACACTCGTCGACCGAGAACATCGATTTTTCTTGCATTGCAACCAGTGATTTAGTCAAGCGTACATTACCTAACCAGAATCCTCGTTGTATTCTGGCTTGACGTAATTGCCTATTAACACAGTTGTCACCTAGCAGCCGTCCAAATTATCATCAATTAGTCACGTGATCATGGCTGCAAGTAAACATTGTGTCACGTGATTACGCAGATGTTGTTCCAGCGCCTGAATTGCATTTAAGTGAAAGCTGCGAAGCTGTGCATTGAGCGCCCGTCAGCATTATTTTTGTGATAATAATAATAAATGATGGAGATACGGACTTGTGGCATTGTGCATCCCAGTTAACAATTTCCCATAGTCACAACGTTATAGAAAACGTACTTAAAACAGCGATCACTGCCTTGATTGCGGAGTGTAGACCGCCTTTAAGAGGGTTTGCCCTGTAGGTATTTTAGGTAGGTAGGAATTCATCCCAGTACTATGTCCTAGTTGTAGTGCCCATTATGGGGGATCGGGTGGTGAGGCTTTTTTAGATTTGGTCTTCGGCAACGCATGCTTGTCGTAAGACGCGACAAACCTGATCAGTTGGTCAGTCTTGCTGACTTCGATGACGCATGTCATCGTATCCCTCTTGCGCAGATCGATGTTCAGGATGTCAATCATTGGATTGTCTGGTCCGGACTCGATTATTGACAGACCACCGTCATTTAGTTCAAAAAGTGCTGACTGCAGTGTTAAACGAAACCTTCAATATGGTTCTCTGTCCTTCTCTTCCTCCTTCACTTTCTTCGTCCTCTTCTTCCCCGATCCTCTTCTTATCGTATTAATTATTAATAACAATTTCAGAGGAGTCAGCAGAATCCGAGCCGGCGTGGAAGGGGTCGGGCAAGGAGGTTGGCCTGCAAATATGGAGGATAGAGGTGAGAGCCCTTCACTAGATTCACCGCAATCTGAGCGTAATTAAATTGTGACGATCAGATTAAGATCAGTCGAACAAACAGTAATGTAATATTGGCTTTTTCTTTCAAACTGTAACGTGTTATTGGCATTTCCTTTCAATCAATCATTTAAACCAGGATATTTTTAAACGAGTATGACAATTTTTTTCAGAAATTCAAAGTAGTCCACTTACCAAAGGAAGACTACGGTAATTTCTACAGCGGGGATTCCTACATTGTTCTTAACGTGAGTATAATGAGGTATTTTATAGTATGGCGTGAACTAAATACTGTAACCCAATATGAAAAAAGTTACAGGAATATCTCATTATTTTTCACGTGCAACATTGCCCAGATATGTAAAAGGTGCTCATATTTGAAAATAAACTGGAAACATATTTTAACCCTGGTCCTTCCACGCTCCTTCCTTAAAAGGGATCTAACAGGAATTTGACAGTCACAAAAATAAAGGTCAGACAGTGTTTGGCTGTATAGTTGAAAACCGAGATGTACTCATGGTCATCCGGCACGGAAATCCTACCAAAATCTACAGATGTATATCAGATCATTATAGCTAACATGTTACCTTTTCCCCGATGGTATATCTGGTCAGAATTGGTCCCCTGTAGCCTATGGTTGTCGTAAGACGCAATTTTATGGGTCGGGTGGTCAGGACGTGCGGACTTGTGGGAAGCTGCTCATAACATTGATCACTGTTTTTTCTGGCCCAGACTATAACAAGCCGACGTCATATGGGTCCTACATTTCGGAATGTGACGTCATATGACCAATACTTACTCATAACGTTTTACATTTAATCATTACGCACAATAAGATCTATTTATTATCACTACGCATAATATGATGTATGTTTTATCACAGACATACAAAGAGCAAGATTCTAAGGAGCTCAAATTTGATGTACACTTCTGGATTGGAAAAGAAAGTACACAGGTAAGGGGGCGAATCATTTTGACCAGTAGTGTACATTTGGACAGACCGTACAACACAGCTCATCAGTAGTATTTTGCGACACAGAATTTTTTTTTATTGTAACTCAGCTTGTAGTTACAAGGCACCTACCTGCTTTTATCTCAGAGCCTCGCTTCTCAAGCGCAAATGTTGTCGTAACTTTGATACTAACGACACAAATAGCCGAGTGGATAAAGGTCTTGCTCACGCCTCGTAACAAGCGTCTGATTCCCCACGTGGACACAATGTTTTCAGCAGTTGATATTCTCTTTTTCATATTTCTTCTATTTGCTTTTGGACAGTTTATTGGATTAGACATAAATCCATCCGCTCTTAACGTGAAAGGTCCGGGTTCGATTCTCTTTGGGGCGATACTGCTAGAATATTGTCATATACGGCTCAAAATCCAACACATTCACCCTCTTATGTTAGGCAATACTAAAACATGTCTCACACATTCTTCATTACGAGTAGGGCACAAAATCCAACACACTCACCCTCTTATGTTAGGCAATACTAAAACATGTCTCGCACATTCTTCATTACGAGTAGGGCACAAAATCCAACACACTCACCCTCTTATGTTAGGCAATACTAAAACATGTCTCACACATTCTTCATTACGAGTAGGGCACAAAATCCAACACATTCACCCTCTTATGTTAGGCAATACTAAAACATGTCTCGCACATTCTTCATTACGAGTAGGGCACAAAATCCAACACACTCACCCTCTTATGTTAGGCAATACTAAAACATGTCTCACACATTCTTCATTACGAGTAGGGCACAAAATCCAACACACTCACCCTCTTATGTTAGGCAATACTAAAACATGTCTCACACATTCTTCATTACGAGTAGGGCACAAAATCCAACACATTCACCCTCTTATGTTAGGCAATACTAAAACATGTCTCACACATTCTTCAGGACGAGTACGGCACAGCAGCCTATAAGACAGTGGAGTTAGATACCTTTCTCAACGACGCACCTGTCCAACACCGAGAGGTGGAACGGCACGAATCCACAATGTTTAAAAGTTACTTCGAGAGGATCACGTGAGTACTGATTTATTGTCTGGTTAGTTATCGATGCGTCACCACGGTTTAGTTATTAACTGGGAACTCTGATTGCAAAAGGTTTTTAAAATAATTTTATCACTGCTTCAATCACTTTTCCTGAAAATATATGCTTTACTAAAATTGTATTATTTGTCATCGTATATCTATGTGTCTTTACTGGGAATTCTGACTGCAAAAGGTTGGGTTTTTTTATATCCCTATCATTGATTTAACCATTTCTCGTCAAAATATATGCTTTACTAAGATAATATTAGTTGTCATCGTATATCCATCATGGTTTAGGTCTTGACGGAGAATTCTGATCGCAAAATAGTTTGTTGATTTTTTCATGTCTGTCATTGCTTTGATCGTTGTTTTTATTAATCTGAAATGTGTTTTAAAAATATATTAGTTCTCATCGTATATCCATTTGTCATTCTGTCTGCAATTTTTTAAAGTATTTATGTCATTGCTTCGATCGTTTTTCTCCAAAACATATGCTGTGCTAAACTTGCAATAGTTCTCATCGTAAGTGGTCGTTATGGTTTACTACTTCAAGGAGAATTCTGATTGCAAAAGGTTTTTTATCCCCCGCAATCCGTCCGTGCAAATTCGTCTTTTCAGGAGCAGAACTTAAAAACCGTTTAATACACTTTGCACATGGATAGGCCTGGTGATGAATTGGTGCCTTTTGGTAGTTTTGGATTTGAGAATAAAATATTTTTGGCCTTTCCATGGCAACAAGTTTGACTTTGACTGAAATTGGTGATTGTACTCCTTTCCAGATCAGAACTTAAAAACCTTTCAATACTCTCCTTCCACTTTGTGGGTATTCAAGAACCTAATGACATAACTCAACAGTATCACTCTGTTTCCAGTATCAACATTACTGAGGTACATCAAACCGTGGAGTCACTCACACAGTCTGTTGGTGATACAAGCATGCTAGTATATGAATAGTTTACATATGTATGTTTTCGTTAGATAAATGTGAAGAACAATGTAACATTTGATATAGTCGTGACTACTTGACATATTCATGAAGAGTATTTAACCATTGCGGGGATATTGATGACTTTGTATTCTTGTTAAAACTTGCAGCTACTTGAAAGGTGGAATCGCAACAGGCTTCCGTCATGTTAAACCAGAGGAGTACAAGACGCGACTCTTGCAGTTCAAGGGAAACAAAAAGAAGGTTCAAGTTACAGAGGTGGGCGTGGTTTCTTCATGCCGACCTGTGGAAATAGATAATAATTAAACTTACTACAACAGCATAACATAGTATCCGTTACATCAACAGCATCTTTTACAGATGAAGTAATTGTCCATCATTTGTAAACATTCACATTTAGCCAAGATTCACAACCTGCACCTCGTTTAACTCAATCATAATGTAGCATGTTTTATTTATATATGCAATATATTTTCTTCCTCAACTTATGTGATGATCAGCTAATTCAGAAAGGGAACTTTCTGGAGGGGACAAAAGACATGTTTTGTATAAGTTCACATAATGAGGTGAAATTTAGAATCAAATTACGTTTTCTTCTCGAATCGATGCTGTGCAAAGAAGTCGGTATTTCATAAAACATTTGATCATTTTTCACTTTTAGATGTCGGTAGTAGCGTCCAAATTAAACCCGAACGATGTCTTCATACTCGACGCGGGCAGGATGCTTTACCAATGGAACGGAAAGGACTGCAACAAAGACGAGAAATTAAGGGTTAGATTATTTTTATTGAGTGAGTGAGTGAGTTTAGTTTTACGAAGCATTCAACAATAATCTGGCAATATCACGGCAGGGGACACCAGAAATGGGCTTCACACATAATATCCATGTGGGAAAACGAACGGTCTTCAGCGTAACGAGTGAACGCTTTAACCACTAGGCTACCCCACCGCCCCTCAGAATGACATGTCACTATATCGATACTATACATCAAACTTAAGGGTTAAGCTTCATCTTAGATTTGGGTGGAATTTATCACTCTACCAGGCTGTTTGATATTTGACCAGGAAGATTAATTTAGATATATCCTACTCAAGAATTTACTATGAATGTCAGCGGATGTTTAACCAACAAAATTTATGAGTTTACATGTTTTAGAACAATTCTTTACGAATACAAGTGTTTGACTAGAAATTTCATGAACAGTTTCAATAATATGCTTATATATTTTCAATGCATATACGAATAAGCAGTTTAGAAAAACATGATATATAGGAAGTGCATCATGATCAGTTTGAATACAATACATTCCCTACCGACAAAGAGTTCTGTGACGTACTTAGCATCGTGCGACCTCCTTTCCATTTTTCCCTATGCATCATGCGGTTATGTTCGTATGGGTCGCAAGATTCCAACCAGTAATAAACATAATGTGTCTTGAGGTATACCCTTCAGCCTGATAATGTACCGTATGTAAGGAAAGTTACCTGCTGTTTTCTCGAAATGAAAGGGAGATAACTAGTCTTTCGCTACCGTCATCTTCAGACAAGAAATATTGACGGCCAGAATCGGGTGTAATCAAAGTAATTTCGTTCTTCACACAAACGATGGAATCTTTTGCCAATTTGAAATGCAAATGATGCCTTGTAACCGACTTTTCGCTGTATCCCACATTCATAACCGAGTTTTCGCTGTACCCAATGTACGCTGACCTTTGGTTGTATCAAACTTGTACGACCGACCTTTGGTTGTATCACACTTGTACGACCGACTTTTGGTTGTATCATACTTGTATGACCGACTTTTATCCTTTATTTATTCCAGGCGGTGCAATACATGCAGAAACTAAAGTCCGACAGGCATGGCAAGGCTTCCAGTGAGTCTGTCGAGCAGGGTGATGAAGATGTAAGTGAAGTGGGAGGGGTGGGGACAGTTCATACAAAGTATTTTTAAAGTTTAACGTTTCTTCTGCACATTCAGTGACTGACTCTATATATCACTGAAAACAAAAATGTTGAGGGAGGAATTCTTTTTGGTATTTTTTCCACGCTAAAAATTTAAAAGTCACAATTGATCATATATTGAACTCACCAGTTTAATACGATATCATTTGTCAAGCTTGTAATTTTTTGGATAAGGGGGAAATTTAGAAAATATTTTTGATATTGAGGTTTCAAAATCACTGTCACCGGATTTGCCTGTTTCTTGTGTATTTGATTGCAATTTAATGCGTCAAGTGACATTATGTTTTATTCAGCCTGCTGACAGCGTCAAGGTGATGACATGTTTTTGTGTGTTGATATGAGATTTGTTCTGTATTGCGATTTGATCAAACAGGGAGCCTTTTATATGTCAGCAGCATATACCGCAGCAGTGGAAACTAAATAAAGGTTATCTTGTTCTTAAAACGTGTGATTAATGGCATGCGACTTAGATAATATTAAGTCTTGGTGTGTTAATGAACATGAAAGTGGCTGTACCCTAACGGGACTTTGAAGCTGTTTTGAATATTGAAAAGGAGGATAAATTTCTTCAAACCTTTTTCTGAGGCATAAGACTGTATATTTTGGCATTTCCGTATCAGTGTACATGAGTACATTAGGCGCTGCAAAATATACCATTTGCAATCTTAATTTATGATTACAGTAAAACACCTTTATAACGAACTCCAAGGGACCACTGAAATTAGTTCGTTATATCCGTAGTTCGCTATTCACTTATTTATGTGATAATATAAGGTTTGTTCATGACTTCGGAAAACAGTTCGCTATAGCCGTCAGTTCGTTATATCCGTGTTCGTTATAAAAGTATTCTTGATGTGATTGTAAGAGTAGTCTGGAAGCCTCCAACAGTGAGTGAGTTTAGTTTTACACCGCTTTTAGCAATATTCAAGCAATATCAGGGCGGGGGACACCAGAAATGGGCTTCACACGTTGTGCCCATATGTGGAATCGAGCCCGGGTCTTCGGCGTGACAAACGGACGCTTTAACCACCAGACTACCCCACTGCCCCTCAAGCGTACAATAGTTACCCCTTCCTTGATGTAATTGTTGCAGTAGCAAGTAGGGCTCGAAAAGTTACACCTTACTGATGTGATTGTTGCAGGAGGACTTCTGGAAACACTTCACCGACGACGATGACGACGATGCGGATGAGGAAGATGCAACAGAAGACGGTGTCAAAAAACTTTACCGGTGAGAACAGAAATAATTAGGATTATCATATAGCAGCCTGGTCTCCACGGAGTAAATGACTATATCCCTTGTGGTTAGAAGGAAGTCAGCTCCTGCTACTTTCAGTGTTTACAACCAAACATTGCCTCTCGGGAGTTTCCCAAATGTGTTAGTTTTTATCAGAATAATAGACACTAAATCAAGATACAGAAAACCTGAGTCTAACAATGCGTTTCCTAGGATCTATGCTACTCAAGAAAAGTTAAGGACCACCCGATTCTTTGATGGCATGGCATGGTAACTATAAAAATACGAATGAATTGAGTTGTCCTTAACTTTTGTACAGTAGTATATATAGCTTGTTGACACTGTTCGGCTAATCCTTTAAAGGAATAAACACTAACGTGTGTAGTTCTTTACGACGAACAAACGTTTGTTCAAAATAGAGAATTTATTTCATCCCAAATCGTGAAAGCTTGCTAAACTCTATTTAACCTTTATCATTAAAATGCTCAAACTTGATTTTGATCACAACCCCTGGAATTTGCAAGCATTATGAGTTATGTCTCCATTAACTGTCAATCACAACAAACTGTACTTTTTGTTGTTCACCGGCGCTCGCGTGCTATCTTGCCAGTGGGAAGATGCACTTCTGCCTCTTCCTGGCGCGAAAGGGACGTATCTGTATGCATACAATGTTAACGTAAAACTGAAGTTATCTCCCCTTACCGACCTTGATGGTAGTTTTGTCCTTTTCATTCCAGAGTCACAGATGAGGGAGGTTCCATGAAAACGATTCTCGAGAAGGAAGGTCAGATCTTCAACAAAGGCATGTTGGATGCAAAGGTAAATTCACAACAGATTGTTAACGTACAGTACTGCTCAGAATGCAGTTTCCCTCCAACGCAAAGGAGACGTATAACTTGATTGGTTAGTCAATGCAACATCCTCACTGTCTAGTGCTGTTGATTCGTCATGTTCAATTACAAGGAAAGTTCACATGATTTACACTTATATCCTCAAGTGTCTAAACTGAATTACATACATCCTTTGTGAGCAGTATGTGGCCAATTTCGTTTGCAGAGTGGTACTCTTTAGGCGTTCCAGAAAACTCAGGTTCGAATCCCATATTCTTTCTGATTATGTCTCTTTAGGCGTATTTTCGTGAGTCCCTTCAACTTTGCCAGAACGGTGTTTGTAAATAGTTCCAGGACACAGGGAAGCAAACTGAACAGACTGTTGGTCACTGGATTGTCTGGTCTAGACTCGGTTATTTACAGACCGCCGCCATATACAGTCAGCTCTCGTTAATCCGACACTCATTAATCCGACAAAAAAATTAGGGAACCATTTAAAACAGTGATAATTACTCTCGTTAATCCGACATTCTCGCATTCCGACTCCGACACACCAATCTAGCAACTGATTATTGTAAATACATTGTAAAAACATTCGTTAATCCGACAATCAACACAGCCGGTCGGATGATCCGACCGTATACAAACAATCACACGTGAGTGGTAATTAGCGTGTGCCTTACTGGCTGCTTGACACCGGCGTCAGTGAACATCACACTTGTTAATTAGGAACACAGGATAATTAATTGAGACGATTTAATCAAGAAATAACAGTAGAGCGAGCTGTATAAAATGTTTACAACCGACATGAGTTTTCATCACAAGATGTTTGTCACGAGTACACCACCTGCTAAGCGACCCCTTGTAGAAATTACGCCATTGATCAAGAAAGAAATCTCCTTTTGAAGAAAGACAAACCCCAGACAACACAACAAGAAGTCATCACTTTTGCTGAGCAGAAGTTTGATGTGAAGATTGGACGATCAACCGTATCTGACATCCTGAAGCAGTCTGCTTAGTGGTTGAGCGTCTCTACGACTGATTCCAATGCTTCAAGCTATCTGAGGCCAAAACATCGTTGAACACTTTGCAAACATTTCTGACACACCACTTAGACGTGTTTGATGTTCATGACCATCAAAAGACTTTTTCAAGTTATAAATTATATATGTTAAGTGTCGGATTAACGAGAGTTGACTGTAGCTGGAATATTGCTCAGTGCAGCGTAAAACTAAAGTCACTCACTGAACAGACTGTATGTTTTTGGCTTTCAGGACGTGTTTATCCTGGATACTACGAAGGAAGTGTTCCTGTGGGTCGGCAGGAGGGCGTCTACTAACGAGAAGAAGAATGGCATGGGATATGCTCATGTAAGTAGACTATGTGGCTTCGGTACCTCCTTTACTCATAACCTTCAAATCCGTTCTTCTAGTCCGCCTTTCATACCATGCAGTAAATGCATTAAATATAAAGTGTCTTTCTCCAATCATGTTTTTTGTTAGCATACTAGCATGCGCAATGAATATGCTTAATGATTGGATTTGTTCTGCAACAGATGTTATCCAAGACTTGTTTGTTTCAGCGTTACCTGCAATCGACGTGTCACCCTCTGGTCCCTGTCACAGTTATCAAGGAAGGACAAGCATCACAGGGAGCATTTAACAGCCACTTCTCAGCCGCAGCATAAAATGTAATAACAACCTGAATCGCCCGCAAGATGAGGACCTGATGTGTTAGATACTTCAGATGAACGTAGCACTGTGGTATTTACTTCAAGGATTTCCATAATTTTAAAATGACCTTGACCTATTGACCTATATCTGTACATGACCTTGGTATGATAGACATGCAGGTCAAGGTCATTAATGGAATCATATTCCATGACTTGGTCTTCGATTTTGTTTCATATCCTGAAACTATTTCAAGCCCTTGTTATGGAAGTTAGAGATCCGTTTCATAAGGAATGCAGCTTTTAGTGACATATAGACTTAGAACTTCTTTAGTGCAATACTTTTTTTTATTTTGCTGTGTTTAAATCAGTACACTTGTAATGGTATTCACTGTTATCTCAGTTCACACAGAATATACACAAGTGTATATCACAAGTGGAAATAATATTTATAGGATCTTGTTGAAACAAAGGCACATTCAATGAAATATACCACTTTTTATCTTTCTATTTTAATAGTGACAGTTTATTTGTTTTTCGTTTTAATGGATATGGAATTAGCTGAGTCATTGTAATAGTATCACATATCACATCGCAATGTATCATAATGAGCGAGTTATATCACAAAGGAATTAAAACTGTAGTAAACAAACTACAACTTCGTGTTTCCTCACATCAGCTATGGGTCGATTCGAAAGTTCAAAACAAGGAATCTAATAGCATAACTCTGTAGAGACACCAAACGACGCAGTTCTGTTTTCTCTATTTTCATAAGAATTTCCAAGAAAGCCAAAAGTTTGAAAATAATTAAAAGAATTGACCCTCTTGAAAATAAGCTTTTGACCATGTTTGGCGTGATGGGGTAGCCTAGTGCTTCAAGCCTTCGCTCTTCACGCCAAAGACCCAGGTACGATTCCCCACATGCATACAATGTGTGAAGCCCATTTCTCGTGTCCCCTGCCCTGATATCTGCTGGAGTTTTGCTAAATGCGGCGTAAAACCACATTCACTGTTTACTAACATGATTTGTCTTCGTCACTTCGAATTCATTTGTGTATTGTCTTAAAATAGTATAGATGTGGCTTATTTCATCTTGCAACGATGTAACATTGCTGCAGCTACGTAGATTAACCGACTGTCAACGACGAGTCTGTTACTATGGATACTTGTAGTACATGTTGCACGTGCTGCAGTAATGTAATGGTGTGTATAAGATGATAACATATATGATATATATGATAACATATGCATTAACATGCGAGCCATTTGATTGTATAGGCAATAGAGAAAATTTCACACACACATATATATACATTACAATGGTGCATGCGCTTACAAAATGATATTTTTTTCAAATGTTTACTAAAATGTGAGCATATTTTGGGTCAGTAGGGATTGTGTCAAAGGTTACTTTGGATAAGGGACTTCGTATGAACATTCCAATATCAACTCTCCATGTTTATGCTTTTGATACACCCCCTAACAATTCTTTGTTATTGTGTTATACATGTACATTCTTGTTCACGTGGTTTGATAATTAACTGCCTTAAGATTATAGAGCTGTGATATGATATGGGTCTCAATATAATAAATGTAGTTAATTACACTTATCTATTATTTTATATTTCTTTGCGGTGTGATGAATCAGAAAGTAAAGCTTTTTTCGTGATCAGTAAACGAAGACTAAGCTGCACTGCCATGGATTTCGGTTCTAAGAATTTACTGTTACTCGTCCTTGACATTGCTATTAATGTTATTAAAAAACATTTCTTGGCAATATGTCTTGCTTGTATCACTAAATATTTTATTCAATTTTATTAAAAATATGATCGTTTTGTTTTTTGCCCTGTCGGTGAATTCGTTGTGTATTTTTGTCCATAAAATACTTTACCTGTTTCGATTCAGGTGCATTTTGATAAGAATGCCAGGACGAGCAATATGAGTTTATTTTGTGGAGATTTACGTGATGTTTATATAGTTTATCTGTTTATTGCAATTAACACCAAATAAGTCATGTAATCAGCATATTTTCATATATCTACTCAATGATTTCTCATCAATAAAAACATTAAACGGTTACATTTGTTTTATTTTCTGTTGTTGGAACACGTAAAGCGACGGTGTTTTGAAATGTTAAAGTGGTTTTTTAGGGGACAACAGTCCAGCACTGCGTCCGTGTTGAAAGACTGACCTGTGGTTCTGGGGGTTGTTGCTCTTGCAGTCAGCCACAGGTTGATACTTCTCCAGGCTCCACAGTTTACAAGCCAACTTGATACAGATGTGATACATTGCTGATTGCGGCTTAAACAATTTCACCAAGTCAAAAGAACAACGCGCCACGCTACAATTCAGAACTATATCGGGTGTGTAGAGTTTTGTCCCATAACAATATGAGGATGATTCCGACTCCTTGGGTTGGAATACCAGTTTCGCCACGAGTAGTGAGTGAGTGAGTTGGGTTTTGCGCCGCTTTTAGCAATGTTCCAGCAATATCACGACGGGGGACACCAGAAATGGGCTTCACACATTGTACCCATGTGGGGAATCGAACCCGGGTCTTCGGCGTGACGAGCGAACGCTTAACCACTAGGCTACCCCACCGCCCCTCGCCACGAGTATCACCCAGTCTTACTGGGTCACTCATTCACTCTTAGTTTTGCCTCCATGGGTTATTAGTCTACGACCGCTGACCGCCGTGATTTTACCTAACACATGTCCCAACTACGCTTTTCCCTTTGGAGATATGGTATGCATTTGATAATTGATTACGTGTATGTCCATTTTATAACAAGGGAATTGAAAATTAATATATATTTTTTCTTAATTTATAACTTGTTTAATGACTGAAAACTTTCCACACTGTTTGTTTAAGAACGATGAATTGCAAAATAACTCATAACTCGGGAATCGTCTAGTAAATGTCAATATGGTACGTGGCAGTGAATACCCTGTATCAACATTATCTGCTGTTTGTTATTTTTGTACCCATAACTGGAAAAACTTGTTTAGTTGTTGTTATTTGCTTTATTTAACGTCGGACGCACAACTAAGGTATTTCGGCGACGGTTAGTTAAGAAATTATCGTGTTGTTTTGTATACTAGTTGATATCTTTAACGGAGGGGGGCAAAACAGTAGGTGGAACGGCGCTTACGCGCACGTGATTCAGATCAGCGCGATAAGTTACGTCGCTCATGTTACAGCGGTGAGCCCACGTCGTTGGGATCACTGGTGTTACTGCTGATCATAGATGGTCACTTATACAGGTGGGACTGTCGCTTCCTGAGTCCATCACCTGACTAGTATCTTGACGCTATCAAGTTGACGACCTATGGAGACGAATGGACTGTATTCAGTGGGTCTATCCGTCTGTCCATGTAAGCTCTCAAGGATCGATACATCGTGACGTTTCACTTCAATGTGGAAAGAAAATTCGAAGCGATGCAGTTCTCAGACGTTTACCACTTTGGTTAAATCAAACAGAACGAGTTTGGTGCTGAAAAATCCTGGAAACAAAGTTGGTGCGAACTGGGATTCGAAACCACAATGAATACGTTTCCGGCATGTCGCAACTAGGCACAACACATTGCGGCTCCTCAGAAGTTGGGGCTAGGGCTTCAACGAGTCCATTTTCTTGGGCTCGAGTACTCGAGGGGCGAGACTCGACTCGGACCCGAGTACTCGAAATTCATACCTTTCAAGTAAACGATAACGTAACCGGCATCACGTGTTCCGGTCACAAAGTGAACACTTACATCATTCCGACTATATCGTCGTGTGACTGAAATTTCCTGTTGGTCAGAATCAGTACTTGGATGTTTACTTGCCAAATGTTGTTGTTTTTCATCGTACTGGTTGTACTGCCTGCATAACGCAGTGATATACTGCACAGGCGGCATTTGGTTATTTTTCTCTTTTCACTGTCCAGATCAAGATACGCCCATACATTTGATTTTTTATCGTACGTTCTACATGTCTATTAAGATAGTTACCTAATCATTTTAAGAAGTGAAATCTCACACGATGCATAATATTTACTCTCATCTGCAGACTTGTAACAACTAATACCATACAGCCACACCGTGTGAGGGGTAAACTATTTATTCTAGGCGTTAATAAAAACATTATCAGATGGGTTAAAGAATTCAGGGTACATAGAACTCAGTATGTCAGTGTCAATGGCTATCAATCTACTTTTCTCTCAACGTCTACTGGAGCTCCACAGGGCTGTGTTCCTTCATCCGTACTTTTCGTTTTGTATACCAATGATTGTTACTTGTCAATAAATGACTTGTTTACTGTGAAATTCGCAGATGACGCCACTGTTACTGGCCTTATTTCCCATTCTGAACATTATTATCGTCAAGGCATTGGCAAAACCGTAATGACAGTTTTTTATCAAATCTTTATTCAAAGTGTGTTGAGCTACAATTTTCTATGTTGGTATGGGGGTCTGTCTGATCGCAACAAAAACAAATTTTTCAAAATTGTTAATACTGCCAGCAAAATTGCTTGAGTGTCTTTCGAGTATATTCCCTTTATCTATGAGCGCCAGATTGTCAAAAACGCAACTAAAATTAGATTTGATAGTTAACACATTTTATCTCACCATTTTGAACTACTTCTTTCTGGACGCTGCTGTCGATTACCTTTCCTCAGAACAGAGCTCGACAGTCTTTCATACTATCAAGTATTCGTGAATGCAACAAATATTTTGAATTGTCATTATGTGATTACAACTAGAATTATTCAGCTTCTTTACCTTCATGGTTAATTGAATTATATCATGTCAGTTTAATTGTGTAAATAGCTTTCGTTTTGTGCATGTAATTATTGTGTATATTTTTGTGAACTGTGTACATATTCATTTTGAGACAGTTTGGATGTATAAGATTTCCTTCGGGATAATAAAGTTATATCTTATCTAATATCAGACGTTAACGGCCGCTCATGCTTTGCACATGGCAGACAGACTATCTCTCAACGTAACCCAATAATTCGAGTTATCTCCCCTTTTCGAGTCCTCGAGTCCTAGAAAATGGACTCGAGTCCAGCTAAACCCGACTCGTCCTCGAGTACTCGAGTACCCGTGGAAGCCCTAGTTGGGGCCACGTGTTAGGTTGACGCATGGATGACTTCTAAGGGACATTTAAAGTTTTGGTTCGAGACTCTTTTGCGGCATACTTTCCGAAAAATTGTGAATCATTCATTTGAGTATTATGATGAAAATTGGATCCGTCTTTTTCAAGATCAACTATACTGAGACGTTAACGTTGGATCAGGAGAACAAATACTTGACAACCAACTGTCCATTCTTGAAATTAATAAGAGAGTATAGTTTTACGCCGCCTTGAGCAACATTCCAGCAATATTACGGCCGGGGATACCAGAAATGGGCTTCGCACATTGCCCTCATGTGTGGAATCGAACCAGGCTATTGGGCGTGACGAGTGAACGCTTTAACGTCTAGGCTACCCCATGCACAGCCCCGGAACTTAACAGCAGAATGCCTTCACGCATGTGTTTTAACTGTAGGAAATTCTCATCTTCAGCAGAATCAACTAGGCACGAAGACGTGAATTGATGTTCATGCTATCGCCCACTAGTTTGTCTGGTCAGGATTCGATCATTTACAGGCAGCTCTGATATGGTTG